GGTGAGCAGAAACGACACGCTCTTATAACTTTCTATCATTTTAACTTTCTATCATGTTATATATTTTTCATTAAAAACAATTGCCTGCTTATCGCAGTGGGTATCATTCTGGATAAAGCCCGAGGCTGCACCCGCCAGGGTTACTCTGGGAGTCACCTCGCTGCTCACTCTGTCTACGCAGCACGCCAAAAGTCAAGCCTCGTTACCGCCCGTTTCGTACTTGAAGGCCGTCGACGCCTTCATGTCGGTTTGCACGGTGTTCGTCTTTATGGCACTGATGGAGTATTGTCTGGTGAACATTGTCCTCGGCGACTCGGATGCACCGGCAGCAAAACCCGCGCCACCGCCACAGCCGCCATCCTCGAGCACCGCAGATTCGGCTAAGCTCGACAAGATCTTCGATATCGCTGCTAAGGTAATGCCTGGATGACATTTATCCCCAGAGAGCCTTGAGATCGATTTTGACAATTAAAGATAATTGTAATATTCATAATAATTATATTTACGATAAATCTGATCGTTAACTTAATCGGCGTAAATTTGATGATTTAAAAATAAGAACATTCGATAAAACTTTTACTACGATGAAACTTTTATTACAATGTGAGAAATTTTTTTCGCACCAAATTTATCAAATTTTTATTTCGTTTAATTTTGTAAAAAAAATTTTTTGTACAATTTTTGTTGCTATAATTGTTACAATTGACTTCTCGGCTCTCCTATCTCGGACCACTTCTGTGCCTCGAATAGAGGAAATGCGACAAACACATTGTTATTAAGTAAAATTTATCTAAAACATATATTAACAGCCAACATAAAAATGACTGAATTTTTTAATATATTATTTATAAAATTGTTAAAATATTGTAAATATAGCATCACACAAAATTTTCAAAAATATAAATATCTTACTAAACTCTGCTTGCACTTAATATAATAAATTATTATACATGCAAATTATTTAACAAATAATATTATATATATATACATTATAATTTGCACAATTCAGAATTTTTTTCATTATTTATAATTATTTTATAACATTAAATTATGTCTTGTGCGCGCGATTATATATATTACCGTTACTTAGTAGCTCTAACAATAAAATCGTGTTCCGCTCTCCGAGGCACAGGAGACAGTCTGCATGATGACGGTTCAAGTTGTGATCGTTATCACGCAGGAAAACGCAATGTTGTTATCCTGCCGATCGCAGAAATCACCAGCTGGCCCACCACCCGGACCCACTCCGGCCCAAAGGGCGCGAATACGAGCGCTGAACATTGACCGTTTCTCGCGCGTTTTCTTCCCCTTTCTGTTTACCTTGCTGAACGTCACCTATTGGATAATGTTTGCTGAATATATTTAGACTATGGTATTGCAAATCTTCACGGAAGCTATAATACTTCGATTGCATTAATATTTCGAAAAATGAACAGCGCAAGAGGTGAGAAACAGATAGCCCGGCATTATTCTTTGCTTATTTTCTAAAATAGATAATTTTATGATATCATCTATCACACGGCATACACTCGTAAGCTGTTTTCTCTAACTGTTCGTTTTTTTATCCGAATGATTATTCAATAACGTTGTAACAGATCTACGAGTGTGATTTTATGCATTGGTAATGTTAGAATAATCGCAATTTGCAATGAACAAAATGTATTTTGACTGCTATGCCTTTAACTTATTTATTCCTTGCTTATCCCAATTATTGGGAAAAACAAGCATTTCGATTATAATAATGTGTAAGTCTTTATGAATCTTTTTCTCTAGAGAAAGATTTAAAAACTCGATTGTAAATGTACTTGTAAATCTTTCCATAAATAAGTAAGAGGTTCGCCTAAGTAAAATAGAATCAATGATGTACAATAAGGCTGCATATAAATTGTAACGAATTTAGAAAATGACATCTAAACTGTACGAGTCAACTGTTTTCTTCTTTTTTTAGCTTCACACATCCTTCTGTTTATTACATAATACTCGTATCAAGATGCAAAGGCCTAATAGAAAATTCATAGGCGTTATTGCTTTTTTCAAATGCCATGATATATCTATTGTACAAAATAAAAACATCAATTTTTTTATTTATAAGTATCTATAAACGTATCGCAACTAACTAAACTTTATGTCATCGAAACTTATTTGTAACAATAAATGTTTCACTTACGTCTCTATTGTACATCTGTACGATATTATTAAAAATATATACAATAATAAAAAAAAACTATGATACCTCGTTAATGTCAATCATGTTAATTAAATTCTCTTACAATCTGCGTAATAAAAACATTCATTTATCTTTTAAACTTGGAGAAGCTCAATAGAGTCAAAGACTTTTGACTCTATTTTATAATCAAAGACAAGAGAAAGAAAAATGGCAATAACATATTTCTTTTATAATAAAAATTAGTAAACAAAAAATTAATCTTCTAAAATATTAATATTTTACTAATAAGATTATATGTTTTGGTAAAATGAAAACTCTCTTAAAAATAATATAACATATTAAAAATTAAATTTGTTTCCAGATTATTTTACTGTCAACTCTTGCACATATAATTAATTACCATCTATATATCTATTGTACCATTCGAGATAATAATTAAATTTGAGAATTCTCATATATGTCTATTGCCATCTATTGGTGCTAAATAAGACTACAAGACAGTCATTGTCACTAAACTGGAAATCTGTCGGCTTGTATGTCTGTGTTCTCCGCCTACTTTCAATCCCACCGATGCAATCACAGGATCGTAGCACCCACGCACTGGGCAAACAGAAAGCTAACACCCTAATGCACCATAAAATATCTTTCTGTTTTCTCTTTATCCTTTTATATTTATTTAATATATTAATAAATGGTCGCGCAAGAAAGAAAAAATCAATGCAATGAATTTGAACAAATAATTCGTGATAAGAAATTTCTGCACTTCTTAGCGTTTAGGTATTAAGTATTTTACGAGTCATAAAGCTTTTATATATATAAAATAAATATATCAGTAAGATAAATAAAATCACCGTGATTTTTTCTAAAAGTAATATAATTCTGTATAACGATTTTGTAACTGTATGACAAATCAGACTTTCAGAAAATTAAAAAGAGCGCAGAGTTTGCACATATGTTCTTTTTAGTAAAGAGTGCAATTTTGAAGACTCTTTACATCTGCATTGTAATTTGCATTACAAAAAAATATCTTAATTTCTAATATTTCAGTAAAAACGAAAAAGACATTTCTGAAATTACGGTCTGGATAAAATATACTTTTATATATTCTTCTTTGCAATTATTATGAAAAATTAACTCGTACAGAGAGACGAAAAAAAGCGAGGTAATCGTGCGAGGTCGTCGCGAATGGACCAATTTAATGAATCAGTGTACGATTGCGCGGAGAAACGGAAAGTGGGATCATCGCAGAGGAAGGAAGTATAGCGTGGGCTGCCTTATCTGTACAACGTATCCCGGCTACGATAGCAGGATGCCATTGCCTTCTCTTCCTCGTCTCGCCTTTTCAGGATAGTTCGTTTCCCATCCTCTTCCGTCGTGTCATCAAAAGATTAATGAGAGAATCGAGGGCACTGCGTGGAACAACGAGTCTGAAATATCGATGTTAGATGCTGCGATGAAGTAATTATTTGGCTATCTGTTTAGACGATAACGAGAGAGATGTAGTGTATGAATATTTAATATCTTCTTAAATTCTCCAAAATTTACAAGCACTTTTTTAAATATTAAATGTAATTTGTTACAGAAAAATTAATATAATAAATGTTTTATTTGTGATGTAAAAATGTGTTCCTGGATATTTATTCCGCGATTCTGAAAATTATTCACAATTATTAATATCCCTTTATAGGATTATATGTAATGAATGATTACCGATTATATAATATAAATAATTATATATCTCAAAAATTATATATAAGACTAAATTTAATATATAAATTTGTGTAAAGTTTGCTATTAATAGATATCAAAATAGGTTGCTTTACTTTAATGTGAATTGAAAAAGTTTGCAAATATTATTGACATTTGAGGAGAGATTCGTTTATTTCTTGAACAACAGATTTTAAAAGACCGTAAAAATACCAAGTGTGCTGCACGTGTGCAGTAACATAAGCATCGCCGGTATAACGGGTGTGCAAAAGTATCGTCACTCTCAAGAACTCAGATTGGAACAACAATGATTTGGAGCTCTCAATCTGTAGGCCTTCTGCGACGTTGCGTATAACGCGTACAAAAAGTATGATATCAGACGAACGGAACGTTGACCTGTGATAGAAGAACTTCTATGTGACTTACACTATACCATTTATTTAAGAGAGAGAACATTTTTCATTGCTTTCTTAGTAGATATTAAACGTCAAAAAATTATCTATAAATAGATAAACATATAAATCTCACAAAATATTTCTTAACATTAAAAAATATTTAAATAATGCACTTTTATATATTACATTTGGCATTCAATCATTTACAAACTTTCTCAATAATATACTGAATATTTTATACATATCTCGTGTAAAGGACAGCTATATATACACACGCTGAGATTCAGCATATAAGTACATTATATTTTTAGAAAATCAAACTTTTTTAGCAAAAAACACAGAGGACAGAAACTTTTTCAGTAATATTTTTCAAAAATTACATTTCTCATAGCGTAAAAAAGAAAATATCTCTAAGTCGTCAGATTCCAACAACTTATCCAACTTGCCGACTATTCAGACCCACTCGTCTCTTTTCAAGTCCGTCGTTCCCTCTCTCCATGACTCTATGTACGGCACTGATGGGCACCTCGAACGGAGTCACAACTTGGCGAGCCGAGGTTCACTGAGCGAGAGACGCGTCACGAGGCGCGTCCGCACCGCGTTTTTCATTTCCCGCCTCCGAATTTTCCGTATAGGTGCATTCGCACCTGAAGACTCCGTCGAGCCACACGAGTCTCACACGTGAAAAAAGAATCGGGTTCAGTGACACAACAAGAAGGAGAGTTTCGGTCGAGTTCAGCAAGAGAATTCCGATCGTTGCTGTGAGATCTCTGCGTACCATTCAGAGTGCAAGACTTCGAAGCGGCGCCTGTCTCGAGAAAGAAAGAAATATCTCATCGGCTTAAAGTAGCGCTGCTTCAGCGCGTGAATTTAACGTAGGTGAGCGCTATTAAAGAAAGATGATACGATAATTGCAATATTAGTTACAATGAGAATCGCTTTTCGCTCTACAGGTGTGCGGAAGTGTTTGACAACGATTGTTGTGTACTTGATCGAGAAATAAGAAAAAAAAAAGAGAGAGATTCTCTGCGTACTTTGAAATTTAATACATTATTTACAACTTAAAATCTCTTCGGCATAAAATTATTTTGAGATATTTATTAGCTGATATCATAACTTGCGTACGCGTTTTTTTCTATTTTTGTTCTGGATCTTGTTAAATAATTATTAAAATTAAGGATTATTAATTATCTTACTTGTGCTTGTTTTTATGTCACTTAAACATTCACAGCGTAATAATTATTCTTAAAAATCATTGGCTATACATATTGATGATAATCTTCTTTATAGATATTTATATCGAACGATTTTTTATTACATTTTAGGACTATATTTTATTTTTATAGAAGGTCTCTTTCGAATCATCGTCCATGGCTTAACAATCATTGCGAAAAATCCACAAAAACGGAGATAGAAAAAAAAATCGGAAAAATGCTCCATGCTCATTACAAGCACTTGGCCATTGCTGCTTTGATCATTATACTTACTGTTTTAACAGGTATGTTATAATCAATATATATAATATTGTTTAGATATTGTAACATACATCGTAATTTATTTATTTACTTTTTTTTACAAAATAATTAAATGTTAGGTTGAAATTTTTAATACATACATTGCGCGTATCAAATTTTAAAAATTGTGATTTGCTCAAATTACTGAAAATATATTTTTACGAATAATAATTTTTCAATTTCGTTTCAAGGCTGCTTGCACTATCACGCGCCATATTTTATAATATTGTTTTTACTTTATGTATTACATGTACGATAGAATAAAAATTCTTATTTTTTTAGATGAACGAAATATCGTTCTATCCCATTTATTTCCCTTGTAACGAGAAGATTCATTTTATCCAATATGATTAGATAGTGATATGACCTCGCGACCTGCTTTCCTTTTGAAATCGGCGAGTTTATTTCGGCTTGTAAAATTCAACTGTTCAATAAATATAGAGATCTTCATATATATTTTTTACTTTAAGATTATTCGACAAATAACGCGATTGTGTGAATTGAATTGCACTCGCATACTTTTGTGTTTACGCATATTGCAGCATCACTGTATCAAAGATGTAAAAAACATTATTTTGTATCTAACGAGTTATCTTTTACAAATTTTTTTATCTGCGATATCAATTCGAAACCGAGCGATTCGTAATTTGAAGATATTAAATACAACGTGATATTTAATGTCAGAAATTGGAAGTTTAATGAAAGAATGACCTATCTCGACATTTTCTTTAGAAAAGAGCCAGTTTCAAAGTCGTCGAAAAACTTACAAGTAAAATATAACTTGCACCCCAGAGACACTTCTCTTCTTGCATTTCATTGAGAGCTTGATGATATTTTCCAGAGCTGTCTTCTCTCATAAACATCCGGCTGTCTCTTGCGATAGCCCCTACCGGTAGTAGAACGTTTCTTGATAACTGGCGCGTTCTAGCAGCGTTTGAAACAATTCTAAAAAAATTATACTACATTCAAAATTATTATTTCCTCCGAGCTTAAAAAGCAACAGATCAGGAATAGAGAATCACTTCGTCTTATGTAAATTTATTCTATTATAAATTTCGAACATTTTCTGTTTTATTCTCTGCTATTTTCTATTTAAGTCATATATTTGTTTGAAGAATGATACACAAATTTCTTATTTAACATTCGTTATCGCACGTTAAATAAATGTCTAAACAATTATAATTTTTTAAACATTTTATTTGTTTTTGCAGGATCTGCGAATTCTCAGTATAGACCAAAAGATCCTTACAGAGGACCACCTAGAGGTAAGATTCTAAACTTTTCAAATTTACTTTTTATTCACTGCCGATATAATTTTCTTGCGTTTTTCTTACAAAAGAATCGTATAACTATTGCATTGCGCGGTATCATTAGCGATCTTATCCAACGACAAAAAAATACGATTAAACTTTTACGACAATTAAGACGTCTCGCGCTATAGTAATATAATTATATACAGAAAATACGAAAATAAAGATGGAGGTGTTATAGGATCGGTGCAGAGAGGCGATATGTCGCCTATGGAGGTGATGACAGAGCGTCATAATCGGCTAGGGCCGACCATTCCCAAATCAAGAGGTAGTTGCGTAGACAAAAGTGTAAATACATGTGACACATTATTCCGAAAGATATATTCGGCAAACACATGTACACACACACACACACACACACACACACACACATACACACATACTGTAGTGATTTTGATATCAAAGATTGCTAATTAAGATCCTTTATCATGGGAAACATTTTAAACACACACACACACACACACACACACACACACACACACACACACACACACACACACACACACACACACACACACACACACACACACACACACACACACACACACACACACACACACACACACACACACACACACACACACACACACACACACACACACACACACACACACACACACATACACACACACACACACACACACACACACACACACATACACATACCCTGTAGTGATTTTGATATCAAAGATTGCTAATTAAGATCCTTTATCATGGTTGACAATGAAACATTTTTATCCAACGTTATAACCATAGTATTAATTTTTTTCTTTTTTTTTTATTAATATGGACGTCGATGTGTAAATACGTTTACCAAGTGTTTGCAATACATATTGATCCTCCCATATAATGTGGTAAGGGTATCGTACATAGCGCTAATCGACGCAAACTAACCGGTAACTGGGAAATTGTATCCTCCTCCATAATACCTAACGCATATCGGCATGACATATCGGTATGCAATGGTGTCTAACAAAATCGGCATATATTGAGTTGTAAAAGAATAACGAGAGCTTTTTTTGATGCAGGATCTCACTTGAAGAGACCACATCCCTGTGAGCAAAGCTCGTGTTATCCCGCAACCGGAAACTTGCTGATCGGTCGTAAGGATAAATTGAACGCCTCGTCGACATGCGGCCTTGCGGGTCCTGAAAGATTCTGCATCGTTTCCCATCTTAAGGAAAGAAAGAAATGCTTCTTCTGCGACGCGTCGCTACCCAAGCAGCAACACAACATCGGAAACATTGTCAGCGGGTAAGATTACTTTGTACCATCGCTGCAATCTTCTTTATCGTACACGTAATGAATAATTACAATAATTCCTATAATTATTTTAAAGTAATAATAAACAATGTAATATTTATATTACATTTATTATATATATGTATATATATAATCACAAGATCAATATAATAGAAATCTGATATATATTAAATCACATACATATGCATAATTTAAAATCATTAAAAAAATATTTATAAATTTAAGATCGTGGTGGCAAGCCGAAAACGGTGTAGAAAATGTCACGATACGCTTCGACCTCGAGGCGGAGTTTCATTTCACGCACATCATCATTCGCTTCCAAACTTTCCGACCAGCTGCCATGCTGATCGAACGGTCGTACGATTTTGGACAGACCTGGCAGGTATACCGGTACTTCGCTCACAATTGCGAGCATTATTTTCCCGGGATTCCTACCCATCAACCTCAAAGATTAACGGACGTCATTTGTGAGACAAGATATTCGGCTGTGGCACCATCCACTGGCGGCGATGTAATTTTCAGGTAAGAAATACATAAAAAATTCTTTTCTTTATTACATTACTTATGCTTGCAATTGTGGTGATTATAATTTATTATTGTGACTATTAACTATTCGGTAAACTTGCGATTAATTCTTGCACTGATACATTTCAGAGTATTGCCGCGAAATTTGGACATTGACAATCCCTACTCGAAGGAAGTGCAAAATCTCCTAAAGATAACAAATCTCAGGATCAACATGACGAGATTACATACACTGGGCGATGATTTGCTCGACGATCGAGCCGAGATTCGCGAGAAATATTATTACGCCATCCAAGACATGGTAATTCGTGGTTCCTGCTCCTGCTACGGACACGCTTCCCGATGTTTGCCGTTGCCCGGAGTTGCCGACGAGGAGAACATGGTCCACGGCAGATGCGAATGTACTCACAACACCAAGGGACTCAACTGCGAAAATTGCGAGGACTTTTACAACGATCTACCATGGAAACCTGCGGTCGGCAAACAGACAAACGCCTGTAGGCCGTGTAATTGCAACAATCACACCACTTCGTGCCACTTTGACGAGGCGGTTTACGAGAGATCGGGAAGAGTGTCCGGCGGAGTCTGCGACGATTGCCAGCACAATACGCGAGGCCAGAATTGCGAACAGTGCAAACCATTCTATTATCACGACATGACGAAAGATATCTCTGACCCAGAGGCTTGTCAACGTGAGTTTTCAATTACTTCAGTCAATTAATGTGTCTTTATATAATGTTTGATCTAAATGTAGTTTCTTTAATATAAGATCATTACATTTCTTACCTGTCTCAATTTTATAGAATTAATATAATAGAAATAAATGTAAATAATGTACTGGAGATTGTAAAATACTAAATTTGAGATATTGAAGACTTACCACATCTTCTTCTTTGCAGCTTGCGACTGCGATCTTGGTGGATCCTTGGACGACGGAATATGCGACTCGAGAACGGATCTTCTCAGTGGTGACGAATCCGGACGCTGTCACTGTAAAGCAAACGTCGAAGGACGTCGTTGCGATCATTGCAAAAACGGTTTCTGGAACTTTGATCCCGACAGTCCTGAGGGTTGTCAAGGTAAAGAGATGATGTTTATAATTGTCCAAATCCGTGTGATCTATTGAAAAAATAATGCAACTGTGTTTTCATATTTTTACATAAAATAATATTTAAATAAAATTTTTTTTTATTTATTTTAATTATATGAGATGAGAAGCCTTAATCTCCCTCTATGTTGATTATTTCATTAATGATTAAACTCATTATTACACTTTTTTTTAACGCGTCTTGTGAATTCAGTGAATCCAACTTATCTTGATAAGATCAAGCATCTCCGATAGAGATTCGACAATGAGTTCTCCAAACTTATGCAAAAAAGTTGATTATTTATAAATTACAGCCTGTACCTGCAACACCTTGGGTACCGTCGACAATCAGGGCTGCAACGTGATGACTGGCGAATGTACGTGCAAGCGTTATGTCACCGCGCGCGACTGTAACCAATGTTTACCGGAATACTGGGGATTATCCGAGGACCGCGACGGATGCAAACCCTGCGATTGTGACCCCGGCGGTTCCTACGAGAATTCTTGCGACGTCATTACCGGCCAGTGCAGATGTAGACCGCACGTCAGCGGGAGAACCTGCAATCAGCCGGAGCAAAGTTATTACACTGGCTCGCTAGACTTTCTTATTTATGAGGGAGAATTGTCCAGAGCTACCGATGTGAGTTTTCATTGAAAGAGAATTTTGAATTGGTTTTAATATTATTTATTAATATTATTGTTGAATATATTATTCTTAAATCGCTTGCAAAAAATGATAAAACAAATAAAATAAAAAAGGTAACAAGTATAAAACAATTGTAAAATAGCTACTGCTTTTTTATTATATTAAATTATATATAAAAAGCACAAATATTAATAAAAGCATAAATAGTATTAAATCCGATTTAATGTGCCAGATAAATAAATATCAAGTATACCATACAAAAAAAAAAAAATATATATAGATTTTTGTCTAGACTCTAGAATTTTACGAACCAATCAATTATCTGTCTGTTTAAATTCTCGGAATTATTTTAAGATCAAAATGCAATTTTTTTCAGAACTGCCAAGTAGTAATCAGGGAACCTTATCGTGACGGCAGGAATAGCACGTGGACCGGCACGGGTTTCATGAAAGCTCTCGAAGGGTCAGTATTGAACTTCACTATCGATGACATTCGCAGATCCATGTGGTACGACGTGATCGTGCGATACGAACCGATACACCTGGGAGTTTGGGAGGACGTGCAAATAATTCTTGAGAGAGACAGTCCGCCGGATCCTACTGGGCCGTGCGCCGATTGGAGACCCGACCAAGATCGTTTGTGGACTCAATTGCCCCTACATTCGAGAAGCGCCATGGCACAGCCGGCCGTATGTCTGGAAGCGGGGAAACGATATAATCTGTTGTTGCAATTCCGTAAATTCACTAGTCACGTAACACAGGATACTCCTTCGGCCTCTATCTTGGTCGATTCGGTAATATATACCTCGTTTTGACTATGTAAATTATTAAAAAATATATATGTCGTCTAATCACGCATACACATCTAGTCGCATAATGTATTTTCCGTAATACGCTCGAATCGTATATTAATACAAATATAAAGACGTGAGATAAATAGATAAATATTACTCAAACTTAAAAATTAAATGACTAAGAGCCGCTGCTTACATTTTTTCTACATATTTAAATATAAATAAGATTTTACCAGCAATTCATGCCACAATGATGATAAAAACTATGACAGTTTCATTATCTGTGTTTTTGTGATTTTTATAGATTGTTCTGAAACCGAGAATAGAGGTAATACCTTTCTTCAAGATACCGGGTCTGGGTGAATTGCGCCGTCAAGAATATGAACGATATCATTGCAACGAATTCTTTAACGATGTCAACAACGTATGGAATAACGTACCCGACATCTGCAAAAAGTATCAGAATAGCATCGGCTATTACGTTTTCGATGGTGCTCATTGTAAGTTGTCATACATAATGTTTGATGTCATTGCTTGGATTATGCATTAAATGAAAGAAAAATCGCGATGGTATTTACCAGTATAATTGATCTCTATGGTGGAAGAACCGTTGCAACTTTTTGATTCGTGCTATATTTTTTTAATTCCGCTCATGCTACTTAATTTTTCTCACGAGCGGGAATATTAAATTTTAGCTTGCGAGTGTAACCCGACGGGCTCCCGCAGTCTTCTATGCGAGAACTATGGCGGAATGTGTCCGTGCAAGTCTAACGTGGTCGGCAGACGTTGCGACCGCTGCGCACCGGGAACGTACGGATTCGGGCCCGAGGGCTGCATCCCTTGCGACTGCGACGGCGTCGGTGCCCTCGATAATTTCTGCGACGTCGAGACCGGTCGCTGCAAGTGCCGTCCCAACACCTACGGTAGAACCTGCGGCCAGTGCGAGCCCGGCTTCTGGAACTTCCCGCACTGCCAGCGCTGCGAGTGCAATGGACACGCGGATAGCTGCGATTCCAAGACTGGAGCTTGCATCAATTGCCGAGACTCCACCACCGGACACAATTGCGACCGTTGCGTCGACGATTTCTACGGCGATCCGCGGATCGGCGTAGATATACCTTGCAGAGCGTGTCCCTGCCCAGGTGAGCGCAATTCTCTGTTGTTGAATTGTATATTGATTAGTAATTTTATCACACATTCTCTCTCTTTTTATCGAAATAAGGCATGTAAAATTTGTTATTCACGCGTCTATAATTATACGTGTATAACTTGTATATTTCTCTTTTTTCTTTCACCAGTAAAAAGATTCAACATTTTTTAACAATTTTAGTAACAATAATAAATATAAAAAATTGAGAAGTCAGTTTATTATGGCACTTTATAAAATAAAATATTATCTATTTGTGTGCCATATGTTACAGGTACTCGCGAATCCGGTCATTCCTACGCCAACAGCTGTTCATTAGACTCTGTAACGCAGGACGTGGTATGCGAATGTTTCGAGGGGTACTCCGGTCCTCGATGCGAGCATTGCGCTGAAAATTACTACGGGAATCCGGAAATACCCGGCGGTAACTGCGAGCTGTGTAACTGCAATAATAACACTGATTTACGTCGAGCTGGTAACTGCGATCCGTATACCGGTCATTGCCTTCAATGTCTCTTCTACACCGATGGTTCCAACTGTGAAATTTGCAAACCCGGGTTCTACGGAGACGCCCTTCAACAGAATTGTCAAGATTGTAGATGCAACGTGCTGGGCACCGACAAAACCGCGGGACCGTGTATTCATCGTACCGGACAGTGTCCGTGTTTACCACACGTCATAGGACAGCTTTGCGATTCCTGCGAAGAGAATCACTGGAGGATAGCCAGCGGACAAGGCTGTGATCCTTGCGAGTGCGATGCAGTTGGAAGTATTTCAGACAGGTCCGTTAAAAATATATGCAATTTATCATATTATTCATGTATGTGTGTGTGCGTGTAAAAAGATATATTTATTTGTATCATTAATTGTAATAATATTAATTTAATTTGTATTATATATTAATTTTTTGCTACAAGCATTTTTTTTTTTTCTATGTATTTTATCTTCAACAGATCTCAAATTAATTTTTTTTAAATAAAGATTTTAATATTGAAACAGTTTAACCTGCTTCTTTTTCAATTTAAAAAAGCAGATTGTTTTATCCAAACATCAATTCAAGACAAGAATATATAAAACAGCCGATAAAAATGAATATATTTTATGTGCAGATGCAACCCCTTCGACGGAACTTGCGAGTGTAGGCCAGGATTCGGCGGCAGACGATGCAATGAATGTCAGACAAATTTCTGGGGCAATCCGAACGTGGAGTGTTATCCATGCGAATGCGACGTGATCGGTTCCGCTAGCCAGCAGTGCGACAGAGAGACCGGACTGTGCGTTTGTCACAAGGGGATCGGTGGCGAAAAGTGCGATCAATGCGATCGCGGTTACCACGGCGAGGCACCGCAGTGCAGTCCATGTGGCGAATGTTTCGACAATTGGGATCTGATACTAGACGGTCTCAGGAATAAGACAAACGCCGTTATCCAGGAGGCTTCAAGGATACAAAAAGTTGGCACAACCGGCGTTTACAGTCAGGAGTTTGACGACATGGAGGAGTCCTTGAATGAGGTCCAGGATTTGATCGGCAACACCACCATCAGAAGCCAAGACTTGGACGTGTTAGACGATTTAGCCGTTGAGTTAGCAAAAAACATCTCCGATTCGGCAAAGCAATTGGAGGAAGCAAACAATCTCTTGGAGAATCTCAGTCAGCGTGTCAATCTCGGCGACGTCGCGCTGAAGAAGTTGCGAAACAGAACCAATAGCCTGCACGAAGTCGCCGCCGATCTGCGAGAGAACGCCACCAGGTTGCAGGAAGAAAATGTGCAGGGTGCTCTGAACGTGACTCAACAAATGGCCGAGCAGTCCAGGCAGGCCGAAAAAATGGCAAACGATACCAGCAGTGTTCTGGCCGACGCGGAACGTTTCCGCAAACATACCGAGAATCTTTTGGCGAAGAATCGCGTTTCCGTAGACGAAGCGCAAGAGAGAAACAAGGAGTCGTTGACGAAGCTGAACGAAAAACTGAAAACGTTTAGTATAAATATACCTGAATTAAATCTGCAGATGTGCGGCAGCAATGTGACGGATTGCAGTATCGTCTGCGGCGGTGCAGGTTGCGGCTTCTGCGGAGGTTTGTCTTGCGACGTCGGCGCAGTTAGCAAAGCCAACCAGGCTCTGGATGTCGCCAAGCAGCAGGCTGCTAAGATCAAGAGTCACAAGGAGGAAGCCGAGCAGCTGCTGCGTAATGTAAGTATTACTAAAAGAAATAATGTATACTATAATTGGTTTGAGATTTTATGAGAACTTTAATTTCTCCGTCATTTATCCATTTTTTCACATTTCAATTTTTTTCTATAATTATATGAAGTCCGCAGTTTATTTGATTAATCCATCTTTTCAGATGAGTCAGATCAAGCAAGACTCGACAGCGGCGAGATCCAACGCTCAAGACGCCTTCAACTACGCGTGGGACGCGCGCAATCGCTCTGACAAGATCACCAAGGATCTGTCCGACATAACAAAGCGAATCCGGAGCACTCTGGACGAAGATCAGCCCACGCCGGCCATGGTCAGAGATCTCGCGCAGGAGGTTCTGGCAAAGAACATTCAACTGGAGCCGGACGAGATTACGCGGTTAGCCGATCGCATCAAAAGTATCGTCGGTTCGCTCACTGACTCCGAGAAGATACTCACCGATACCAAAGACGACCTTCGACTGGCTCACGATCTCGAGGAACGCGCTAAACGCGCCAAGGAGACGGCTCTCGAGAAGCAGGTTTTAGCGAACAAGGTGAATGTATTGTTGAACGATGCGCAAAAGGCTCAACATCTCGCGCAAAACGCTATCGACAAGGCGGAAGCTGACGTGTCCAAGTCTCAGAAGGATTTGGCGGACATCGCCGATGTGACGAAGGCCGCTCAGATCCAAGCAAATAGCACCACTCAATCGGTGGAAGCACTGGACGGTCGTCTGAAGCAACTGCAGACGCAATCCGCGAAAAACGCCTTCGTCCTGGCGGAGATCGGCGTGGAAGCGAAAAAAGTTGCTAACGAGGCGCAAGTGATCGACGGCAAGACGAAGAAACTGTCGGAGGAGTACAAGCGGGCGGATGAGTCGCTGAATCAGCGGATGAACAAAAGCAAGGGTGACATATTGCGGGCGAAGAGGCTCTTGCAGCGAGCCTCCGAGCTGACGGCGGACACGTCGACCAAGTCCAAGGACTTGGATGGCATGGAAAGCGTTTACAAGGACAACGAACGAGTGCTGACTGATCTGATGAGCGACATCGACGCGCTAACGATGGAAATGGAAAGACACCTGGCGGAGATCGAGCAAAAGTCACAATTGTATAGACAGTGTTCCGCTTAAAACTGGCTGCAATTAGTAACGGCAGTCATTAGTATCTCTCGAAAGAATCTCGTCTGTAAAGTATACGATACGTATGATAACAACGCGGATATATTTTTTTTCTCTCTGTTATTATATTTAACACACAAACTTCGGCGATATAAAATCGCTCGCTTTACAGACGAGATCTCTTCCAATGCACATCTTATACTGAGAAATTTTATTCTTCATAAGACCGGTGCTTTATACTTGTGCAATAGCTGTGGTTTTTACTCTGATTTATAGAAAACGGATGTGCGTATTGCATGTACGTGTATATTGTATATTGTATTATGCAATCGCAAGTTATATTCTGCATAGAATTGCAAGAGGTAAAGAGATTATTAGTGCCATAAATGTAAATGGAGGAGCCATTAGTAGTTGTAAAGAAGACGATCGTACGTGTATCGGTTACAACATGTTTCGTTTCAAGCGAGATCGTCAGCAAAACGCCACTTTCTCTATTTTCTTTAGCTTCGCTAAATTTTCTAATCCCTCTTTTGCAATCTTTACATCTCGTAACAACAGTTTTTTACCTTTATACACACACATTCTATATCCATTGATATATGTATACGTTATTTTATTATACTTGGTACTTAAACAAAAATAAACTGCAGCGAAGTATTCCATAGATGATACAGTAAAAGTAAGAGTGTCACGTAATGTAAATAACTAAAATAAATATAACGCAGGATTAAGAGATAATTAATATAAATATTCTGCGACACGATTATACTCTATCGAAGACTTCTGCAAAATATTCAATATATCGCATACACATATATTTCACTACATATTTCATCTTTGAACGAACAAAATGTAAGGTGGCCTTATCGCAGCGCCTGTAAATAATTACAGATCGCTCTAACATGTAAATATCTAAAGTTACATTCGTTAAAATTCACACGACATTCTCTTTTCTTCTTTATTTCTTTTTTTTAAATTTAGCATTTTTCTCTTGCGATTTTAACCTCAATTCTTTAATTATAAGAATGACAGAAAGCCCCGTAAGATGTAATATACCAAGGAAGACTGACGAAATTCGTGTAATTATTCTGGCGATATGAAAGCGGAAAAAAATAAGATTCGTTATTTGTCATCATTGCACGCGATTGAGCCTCATACATTATATCGAATATCGTCGAAAATGTTCTCTTAAATGAGCGAAACGATGCTATGATTAAACCAAAAAGAATTCAAGAATGATATTTAATGGCATATTACGCATAATTATATTAATATTTTACTATACTGTAATATTAATTGAAATAAATGAGAGTTGTGCCAAAAGAAAGAAAGAAGCGATTACAATCTCGGCAAATCCATAGATTAATTCTTTAATTATGTATTATCATATTTTAATTATCATATTTTATTGTATTTTAATATGAAGTTTCTCCATTGCTATTATACATTAAAGATCTGCAATTTACGATAATTTACTTATCTTCGTCCTTACGACTTATTGTGGTATCGTGTAAGGAAATTGTCGAAAATGTCACAACATTAATGATAAAATATATTTCCTGTTATATACTACATATATGTCTCGTTAAATATAATGCAAGTACTCTAATAATGCGTCTGCTTAATGACATTCGTCAAAGGTAGCTACAACTATTGTGTGTATATGAAATAACGCCATTATGTTTCTCAAATCTTTCTCAACACTATTCTAATGCATTCGATCCATAGGACCTAGAAATAGGTTTTGTCGTTTATTATTATAGAGTCTGGTTACGTCGGAGCCATGTGTGCTGATTATATTCTCCCTCATTGAATGTCATCGCAACATCGAATGCTTGTGTTCCGATTTCGAAGGAGTTCGGAGCAGTTCGGATAGCAGTCAGCTTTCTCAGCCCTAGTAACGCGTGAAGAATGCTCTATTTGTCATTTCGACCCGTTCCTTAAAGTCGCCCTTTTTCCCTTTCAGATGAGAGCCTACGCACACTACGCTCGAATATTTCGTGAATAGCGCACTGTTCAGTTCAAATGGCGTATGTTCAGCGCAGTCCGCGTACAATGGATTCATTCAGTACGTGAATCAGTGGTTCTCCATAGAGATGAAGGAAATGAAACGCGGAAATGCTTGAAAATTATAATTGCAAAAACATTACCGTCAATTTTCCTTCAAAAAAAAAAAAGAAGTTTAAACTTTAGATTAGTTTTTTGATAAATAAAATTATAACAAAGAAGTTAGAGACGTAAAAACGCATGGCGTGAATATTATCATTATTTGTTAAATATATTCCAATTTTACGCAACGCCAACAATTAATAGAAACAATGTTAATTCGAGTAATTAATACGATATATGCGTATTACAATTTTTTTTGTAGCAATACTTCATGAAGGAAGAAAGTCTGATTTTTTTTTTTAAAATTGCAGAGGGATTTTAGAAAATACAGCGACATGTTATAAATGTATCTTCATTAAATTCTTCTAAAGCATTCAAACAAATTATCTTCAAAGGGAATTATTCTTTGTTGCTTTGTGGCGCCGAAAATTCGACAATGCTTCGCACGATTGACCCGCAAAACTAAAAGCAGAACACGCGATACTATCGCAGTGTGTGACTGATGATGCACTAGTACATATAGCGAATAATTAATAAATTATAATACATTATCCAAGTAGATGTTATATGGTGTAGCAAAAATTTCATTATAAATCATCACGTAATGAATAGTCACATGTTTCTTTTTTAATCACGAATTTTTTAAGGTATACCTGTATGATATCAATTGCGAAACTTCAAGAAACTTGGTAACTATAATCTTGAAGATGATAACCAATGTCGATGTATCAATCGATCTATTGCGTGTATACAGTTTGATTACACCGACTCTTTGGGTATTTACTTTCCAGTATTTGACATCGTAGCGATTCATTGACTAAAGAATATATATTTTTTCTCACAAAACATTCCTAATTCAGCGAGTTATTCGATGGTAGAAACTAAGGCTTATTATGCAAAAATTACGTAGCTGGTAAAGAACAAAAGATACATCTTGAAAATAATTCTAATTTATTTATTATACATATAACGCGCATTTAAAATACGATATTAGATATTAGATTTTATACTAACATACTCCATGAACGATTAAAATAAAATATCTCTTTAAATTTCTCAAATCCAATTTTTCTCGAGATATGTTCATTTCTGTGTCTTGTGTTCTTTTCCGCACACTTATGCGGTTAACCATGAAAATAATCTACAACACTTGTACGTCTTTAGGAGCTTCTAATCAGCGCAGTTAATCACTCACTAGATGTGAATTGTATTTAATGCAAAGAAATAAGAAAACATTTCATCTGTGTATGATTATGTTATATAAATATTCCGCATCTTTTTTCTATTTTATAAGTTTATTCAATTTAAATACCAATTTAATAGGAAAAGCTCAAGAGTTTTAAATTTTCGTCTTTGCAGAATGGATAAGTTTTATATTGCGAGAACAAAGAGAGAGAGAGAGAGAGAGAGAGAGAGAAAGAGAAAGAGAGAAAGAGACGTGAGACAAAATCTCGTTCGTATCACTTTCCGCCGCGCTCGGTATATGATATCGAGTTTCCTTGCGACATTTCCC